ATCAGAAAGACTAAAGCGGTTAGTTAACGGTAAGATCATGCATTTATGGCGCCTTTATTTATATTTTTTATATATATCACATCTAACATATTTATTTACCCCCATAAAAACCTATTTATAAACCTCGCACTGGCCACTTGTCAATGCCACTAAACAATTTTGAGGTCGCGCACTCTCAGGTACGAATCCGCGCAAACCAGAAACGGAACTGGAAACGCCAACGGTAAGGGAAGCGGAGACGGAAGCGGAAGCGGAAGCGGAAACGGACTCTTCCATTTTATATAATTTGCACTTGACAATCGAAATGCGCAGCTTACTTACTGCACTTATATAAGTTGTAGTTGTTGCTGTGGCAGATACGCACACATGCACACACGCACGCATCATCACACAAACACACATATACATATATGAAACGTGCTATAAAATATATTTTTTTCTGTGTGTAAGCTGCAAAACTTTTGCAGCTTGTGGTCATATCTGTGTAGTTGGGTTTGACAAAAGGAATAGGAGATGGAATACATAACATATATATATATGCTAGAGCATAACTGGAGCTCAACTGAAACTGCACTGAACTGGAGCATTGAAGGGCAACACGCTCGCACGTTCGTTCATAAATGTAATGCAATTTCAAGTAGAACTTTTATTTAATTGAGTATTTTGGTGTTAAGCTTGTCCTCAGAGCATGCACATACCACATACATACACACACACACACACACACACACACACACACACTCACTGCACATGCGTACAGCTGAAGCTTTGCTCAAAAACTTTGTGCGTCATTTCGGCACAAGCTGCTTTGCGGTTGCTCATTGTCTAAAAGAATTTAAATAGAATTGGGCTAAGCTGGAACTCTTGCGAATATGTTACACAGGATGACACCAGCTGAACGTAGCATTGCAAGAGATTAAGAGAGAATTATGAATTTTAAATGGAACTCTGCATGTCTAGCAAAATTATGTGCTTAAAAAAACGAAATGCAAGTAACGGTGCACTAGGCTATGAGAGCCAAAATTTGAAATTTCGGCTTAACTTAATTTGGCTACATACCAAAGACTGCAATAATATAATATATGAATTATATACATACATATATTTAGTATTTATTATATTATTTTTTGCAGCTTTTACCTCATAATCGAATTGATAAAAACCCAAAATTTCTACCTAGTTTTCTAGTTTAATAGCGACTAACCACAAACCATTAAAAAAAATAACTAATTAAATACGCATAAATTAAATATAATTAATTTATGCTGGCAATCAATTCTAATGATAGTTTATTCATTAATATAATTATCCCAAATATAATTATCCTTGAACTAACTATTAATTATATATTTTGTTTGCTTGCCAGGAATTAATTAGTTTACATTATAAATAGAAATGAGAAAAGCGTACTTTTAGCTGGGAAAAGCTAGAAAATTCCAAGAAATAGTTAACTCAATATAGAGAGAGAGAGAGAGAGAGAGAGAGGGAGAGAGAGAGGAAGCCCACTTCGACAGAAAAGGAAACAACATATAAATTATTTATAAAATCCATTTACTCTAGCTCTGTATTGCTATCAATTTTCTCTACACTTTGTACAAGATGTTTTATAATATTTTATCAGGAAAAGAAAAAAAGAACTTTTTGCTTTGCCAATTGAATTCGGAGTGCAAATGTGCTGCAACGAATTTGGTAAATTGCTGAAAATTGTAATGGACTTGTGCAAGAAATTGCGAGCCATTCGCATGTAAGACAAGTAAGCCATAAAAAGAACAATGCTTAACCATAAATAAGCAGCACGAAAAAGCGCATTACACACACACACACACACATACCACTAAAAGAAGAAGAAGAAGAAGCAGGCGACTAGGCAGCAGCTCACATGAGTTTATTATCTGACAGGCTAACAAGAGTCAGAGGCAGCATGTGCGTGTGTGTGTGTGTGTATGTATGTATGTGCTCTGTGCAGTGTAGCATCATTTTATTTATGCCCAAAATGCGGCGCAATGAATAATTATGCAAATGGGTCAACTAGCGGTCAACTGGCCAAAGAATTTTGGCTGCCACCTAAATGGGGGCAAGGGGGGCGGAACGAAACAGGCCGCAGCCACTGCAGCAGTTACAAATTACAAGTTTACACCATTTTGGCCCCAGCACTTAAGCGTCGCATCGCATTGGCCAACACAAATGCAGTTTGACCAAAATATGACCATTACGGCTTAACGTTAAGTTACGAGAGGTTGCAGCTTAAAAGTCAACTTCTCCGGCAATGCTTCGGAATGTCGCTGGCAGTCATAGATTTGAACTTAAAACTTTGCGCTTTTGTTTTTTTCGTTTCGCCCAGCAGCGAAGTCCAGCGAAAATAATTAACAACTTTTTGCCTCTTGCTCCAAAATAAAAAGATTTTCAACTAGGTTCCATCTTTTCTTTTTCTTCTTTTTTGCTTTTTTTGTATTTTATTTAATCTTTCTCGCGCCTTTTGTCGCCCGAGCTGGGCCAAGTCCAAGTCCAAGTTTTTTCAGCAGAAACTTTTTGTTGCCTTTTGATAGAAACTTCAAGTTTTTCGTCTGTCGCACTTTGATATTTGAGATCTTTTTAGCTTTAGCTGTCTGGCAAGCAGCTCATGAAAACTTGCGCCCAAAAGTATCTACGCAAAACTCACAGCTTAATCGCTTGCAGATTTCTCCTTTTTTTCTTTGTTCATTTTGCTTGCAGATAACAGAGACTATATCAAGAAAACGTTGATTAAGCATGTTCATTGAAACTTGTTACAATTTATACAATTTCCCATATTTTTGTGGCTGCAAAATACGTTGTTTTTTTTTAAGGCTTTTTACAAAAATTAATAAATATTTTTGTAAAAAGTCTATTGAGCCCCCAAAACTCTCTCCCACTGATCACTCAATTTACAGGGTATCCGGCTACCGCGCACTTAGTCAACCAGAACATTTCAATTCAGCTGCAGCCAAAAATGCGTATAATTTTGTCTTGAAATCAAAACAAACTTTCTAAGATCCGCTCTTTAAATTATAAATTATATATGTATATATACTTATATAAAAGTATACATAAATATATATCAGCTGCATAATATTTATTACGTATATCTCGAGCAGCTGCTGCTGCTTCTATTGCTACTGCTGGCGAATAAATCAATATCGCATTAACTGCTTAGTCCGCCAAAACTTTTTGCCTAAATATCCCAAAGCACATAAATAACGAAATGTCAAAAAGTTTTTGTCCAACATTTCTTTAGCCAAATTAAACTGCCTTCACAGTCAACTGCAAATGTTGCGGCCATTTTCTACATTGGACAAACGAAATTCATTTTCAGCAGTTTGCTGTTGCTGCTCCCAAAAATTTGGTAAATTCCCTTTTGACCCCAAATGAAAAATTAATTAACAGGTTAACGTGTCGGTTAAACTGATTTGCTGTGGTTTGTTATTGATTATTTAACGGTTGTGTGATTTTCTTTTAATATGTAAATAACAGTCAATTATCGGCATTGTTTTTAGCAAAAGAATTGTGTTCAATCAATTAAGGACTTTTTTTACCTATAGAAATCAAAATAAAATCAACAAATTTAACAAAAAATACTGCACATCTGTAGTAGAATAAATATATATAAATTCATATATATATTAGTGTCATTTATCATTGTGGACATGCACACAGAATATACTGCACATCTCTAGTGGAACTTATTCACACATATACTTACACATGTACGTATGTCAATGCGTACGTTTTCAACACACACATCGATATTAAGATTCTATGTCAGCTAATCGGCAATTCCTTTTCGCCTATTCCATAAAATGTGCAAACGCACACACTACTGTCATCTCGCTCGCACACACCATTAAATCCAGTCAATTTTGCATTTGGCGGCAAGCAGCAGACTAACACTAGTAATAACTGTAATCGTTTATGTGATTTTGTTGCACATTTTTCTTTACACAAACATTATGCACATTCATAGAATTATTTATTATTATATTTAACCTTAGGTATCACATTTAAATATTGCAATTAACTATTGGAAATTAGCACAAAAAAATTGTACACACAAGCGCGCAATCAACTCTATCAACGATCGAGTGGGCAGCCGCACACAAACTAAATTTCCTAATTGAGCATGAGCCGAAACTAAGCCGACATTTCTCTCTTCCCACCATCCACACGCTCAGCCTGCGCTCAGATTGAGAGATCAAAAGCAATGCAACCAATAGCGTTAGCGCATTCTTGCATACTTTCATTCCACCAGAGTCCACAATAGCGGCACTCACTCTCTCGCTCTCTCTCTGTCTTTGGCTGTATCGTCAGCCTGAAGAGCTTGTGAGTGTATGAGCGTAAGCTGTGATCATTTAAGTTGTCTGTGTGTATGCAGCAGTATTCCTTTGGTATTTATATGAGAGTAAGACGAAGCTGAAGTGCTCGCAGCAGCAGAGTGTGTTCTCATTGGTCTCTTGAAACTCGAGCACCGAGCTGGCTGGTGGTCAGCATTTGAGCGAGAGTCAGCTGAGTGAAAGTTGCCCTATATAAAGGGCAGCAGCTGCAGCATTTCTTCAGTCTGTCAGATCTGATGGTGGGAGGAAAGTGTTTGATCGTGTAGGACTTGGAGGAAATACTTCGGGGGAATTTATAGAGGATTACTGGTAAGAAATACTTGGAGAAAACAGAGGAAATTCTTGGAAGAAATACTCAACTCTGCTGCCACCGCCGCAGCGCAATGAATACTTGCATTCAATTAGAATCCACAATGGCCGCTCTCACTCTCTCTTCCCGTCTCTGGCAGCAGCGGCAGGCTGACTGTCTAATCCTCTCTTATAGTCCACAGACTTTTGACCTAATATTTTTCAGTGTATTAATTATTCCTTTTATTCAACTAGAGAATCAATTCAATAAACGGAAGCTGCGCACTTCAGTTTCGATTAGTTGCGTATCAAAACTTTTGCTTTGATGCATTTGCATTAATTAGAACAACAACAAATTCCATTAAATAAAGCACGAGAGAGTATTTAGTGTAATTTCCTGTTCGCTGATTAATGAAATGCATTCAACGTGTGGCGCCAGACAAACTTTTAATTAGAATGGAAAATGAATAATTAGCTTAAAGTGCAGCAACTATTTGCTTAAAAAAAAATTTGTTATGCTGCAAAATTTAAATTAATCCAACTTTTAATTCATCAATTTTATATCGCATTCAGTTAACTGTTTCATTCTTTCTGGCCACATATTTAAGCCAAAATTTATCCTTGGGCGCCATTTGGAAGCCCATGATGTTGTTCATCATATCTAATGTTGTTTTTTTACACGGCAACAATTCGAACTTGAGCAGCTGATGATATATGATTGATTTGACCTCCATTAGAGCCATGCGATTGCCTGCAAGAAAAATAAATATTTAATATATATGTACATTCTTTTTAATTACATTTTAATTTCAGTTTTTATACGCTCCACTCACCGATGCAACTGCGTGGCCCAACACCGAATGGCATATATGTAAATGGTTTAATATCTTCTTTATTTTGCTCGGCAAAGCGTTCCGGTCGAAACTCTTCGGGATCGGGAAAATACTCCGGATCGTAGTGCAAGCCCGCAATGGGTATGAATACACGGTCACCCTTTTTCAGTGAGATGACAATCTCATTGTTCTCATCCCGTAAATCGATATCTGCGTTGCAAGCACGATCCGTTTGCGGTGCCGGCGGCCATTTGCGCAATGCTTCCGATACGACCATATCCATATACTTCATATGCATTAGACTATCGTAATCGAGGGGTTTTCCCTGCAGCTGCTGCTCCACATCCAAAATCTCTTCATAGAGCTGCTGTTGCACCGCCGGATTCATGCACAACTCATAGGTGACAAAGCACAGGCAGGTGGACACCGTCTCAAAGCCCGCAAAGAAGAAGAGCAAGCACTGAGCCAACAAATCATCATCTGTGAATTTTTTATTAGACTCCTCCGATTCGTTAACCTTGCGCTGTGCTTCCATTAGCAAGTGTATCATATCGGGTCGTATTATTGAATTCTTCACACGAAACTTAATGGCATCAAATACCAGAGATCTAAAGTAATTGATCATCTTTTCATCCAGAATGCTAAGGCCTAGGGACTGATAGATCGAATGATAATGTATTAATTAGTTTATGATAAGTAAAAGTGCTCTAGGCAAGGTTGGTCGACTAGGAGATATCCAGTACCCTATTAAGAGCTGATATAACCATTATTTGCTTATTTTTATGTATTGGCATTGCGGAAATGGGTTAAGTAAAAATACATATATATATTCGTACTGCGTCTATACGCAGTACAAATATAAATTTTAATTTTTAAGTTCTTAGCTTTTGCGCTACGAGATATCTGCGTTCATTTGGATAGATGGACAAACGTCCATGGCTAGAGAAACTCAGCTCATCATCCTAATCAAGAATATGTACATATTCTATTGGCTAAAGTATTACTACTCAATTTATACCTTCATCAACTTGGGCATAAACGTAAACAGCAACGCCTTCAGCATTGTGGCAGCGGTAATTGTGGTCACAGTTTGTCCGAGCTGAAAGAATTTGTTATTCTGCTCCTCGAACGAGTTGACCTTGATGCCAAAGGCAGCGGAGGCGATGACGTCGTTGGTGAAACGCGTGAAATAATCCTTCATCTCCAGCTCGATGCCATTGCCATTGGCGCTCTTCAGCTGATCCTCAATGTAGGCCACGCCCACCTCACTGCACGCATTAATCAGTTCGTACATCGCACGCATTTTGATGCCCGTGAATGTGGGCGATAATATACTGCGCATATCGCGCCATTCGCGATCTTTCAACTGCACCAGACTCTTCGACAGCAGCGTCTGGAACTGCTCGGATCCTGAATGATTGACGAAATGATCGAACTGCTTAACGCCCACACTCTTGATAAGCTCCAGATCGCGCAACACAAATATCGGATCACGTAAAAAGTATGCGCCATAGACTTTGGAGTCTTTGAATTGCTGATACTGTTCGATTTGCCTGACCAAATGCGGAGATAGGCCGAATAGCTCCTTGAAGCGCATATTACCCAGCAGCGGAGTGGGCTTTTCGTGGGGTATGCCCCGCTGCTCGAACGTCTGGTACTTGGCCACTGACCATTTGTAGAGTAATGCGCACAATACGATCACGAGCGTGCCGACAATCAAAAACATTTTGCTTCTATATCAGCTGTACTGAGCGCGGCGAGCTCTCGACTGTAACTGAGTCGGTCAATAATATGTAATAACAAAGCTCTAATATGACCTCATATCTGCCTCTCTCACCAGCTGCCGCTCCCACTAGCGCTACCTTTCGTTCTCTATATAATTTATATATAGAATTTTCAATGTCAGGGCTCTCTCTCTCTCTCTATGTCGTGCTCTCTCGAGCTCTCATGCTCTCTTGTTTACTTGACTGTTCACGCCTTCTTGCTATTTTTTTTAGCATTCTAAATACTCTAATCAATAGAGCTTTATGTTGAGTTTAACTGACTTGATGGTAGCTGAATACCTTAGAAATATTTTATATTTAAATATTTACATTTTTTATTTAATTATAATATTTTAAATACTTAGTATTTAATAAAAATTGTATATAACTATTTAAATTTGTAATAATAAGTTATATTGTATATAAGAATATTTATTTTATATAATCTATAGAAGAGCATAACAGCAGCAACTAGCCCAAAAGTTGTTTATAGTGTAGACAAAAATAAATAAATATAATTAATTACTCTATGAAACAGTATAAGAATATTAAATGCTCTAACTTTTGTGTGTGATATTAAAAAATAATAATAAAAATAATTAACCAAGCTTAAAATATAAAAATAAAAAAATTGTATAATATAAAATGAAAAATTTGAGCTCTCAAAAATCTATAGAAGACTTAGGCTCGCACAAGCGTAATTTCTTTTCACAGCTATTCCTCCAGCTATTGCAAAGTGTTTTTCGAAATGAGCACACCCTCTGCTAAATACCCTAAACAGATAAACAACAAATTACCAAGCAAAACGTTTTGATGATAAATATTTTTTTGTTTATAGCAATGTCTTATCTCTAGAGGTGCTGTTGTTGTCTAAATTTTACTGTTGAATTGTTTGATATGCTATCAGTGAGAATACGAAAAGATAGATTATAATATAGAATATATGTATATGATAATACAATATCAATTACCGTAGAGCTTAGATTAAATAACATTGAGCAAAAATAAAACAAATGGATAGGCTAACACATGATTCATAGTTTTATTCATTTATCAATCAAAAGTTCAAAGTAATCAAACTTTATTTACTTTTGCATAGATGATATTTATATTTATAAATTTGTCCAATATTCATTATATAAATCCATATACTTAAACGCCTTATCAGGCTTAAGCAGCTGATATTATCGTTTATTATTATAATCTTATCTTATCTACTTTTATAGCAAATGCAGCCAATATAGATTGTTGCCATAGAATCAACATTTCGCCTTTGTATTTAGTCCAATTTTCTGGGCACCAATTTCAGCCAAAACTTTTCCTTGGGCTGCATATGAAAACCCTTGAGGCTCTCCAGCATATTCTTGACCGTTTTCTCAGTTGGCAACAATTCAAATTTGCTAACCAAATGATAGATGATGGATTTGATTTCCATTAAAGCCATGCGATTGCCTGTAAAGAGAGTGCTTCAAATTAACATTTATTATTTTTTATTATGTATATTTTGTATACCTATGCAACTGCGTGGTCCCACGCCGAAAGGTAAATACGTAAAGGGTTTTATGTTCGCCCTGTTCTCATCCAAAAAGCGTTCCGGCTTGAAGACTTCTGGCTCTGGAAAATTGTGAGGATCGCGATGCAGCGCTATAATCGGTATTTGAATAATGTCGCCCTTTCGAAACTTGGCCAACAGTTCCTGATTCTCATCGTACATATCGATATCTTTGCCGCACATCCGATCCAAGCTGAACGCAGGCGGCCACATACGCAGCGCTTCGCATATGACCAAATCCAGATACTTCATCTTGGCCAACATATTGTAGCTGAGCGGCTGACCCTGCAGCTCCTGCTCCACGGCTGAAATCTCCTCATACAGTTTCGCCTGTACGTCCGGATTGCGACAGAGCTCATAGGTGAGAAAGCAGAGGCTAGTCGACATCACCTCGAAGCCCACGAAGAAGAACAGCAAACACTGCGCCAACAGATCCTCATCGTTGAACTCTGCGCGTTCCGTAGAGCTGTCCACTGTTTCATTCTGTTGAAATTGCCGCTTGGCCTCCAAAAGCAAATGGATCATATCGGGTCGTATTATGTTATGTTCTCTGCGATATTTCATGGCATCGAAAACGATACTACAAAAGTAATCGATTTTCTTGCCATTGAAGAGTTTGACGCGCAAGGCCTGAAATGGATTGGAATTACTTATATAAAAGGTAAATGATAATAATAATAATAATAACAGTCTACCTTCATAACCCTCGGCATAATGCCATACAGTATAACCTTGATTAGGGATAGAAACGAGAAATGCATCACGGAGTTGGCTAGCGTATAGAACTGATTATTTTTATCCACAAACGAATTGACCTTGATGCCAAACGCTGCCGATGCAATAACATCGTTGGCAAATCTTCCAAAATAATCCTTCATTTCCAGGTCGATCTCTCGCTTGTTGCTCTTAAGTAGCTCGGCTTCTAAATAACGTCCACCCTCCACACTGCACTCGTTGATCAGCTCGAACATCGCCTTCAATTTGCTGCCCGTAAAGGATGGAGTTAGCGTATTACGCATTTCCCTCCACTTGTCGTCCTTCAGTCCGTTCAGACTCTTCGAGAAGATTGTTTCACCCGTCTCGGGTATCATTGGCCGATGATTGATGAAATGCTCAAAGTCCTGGATGCCCACACGTTTGATCAGCTCCACATCATGTAATATAAAGAATGGTTCGCGCAGATTGTAAAAGCCGTAGATCTTGTGATGCCTCAACGCGATGTTCTGTTCGATGAGATGCTTCAGAAACGATTTACGTCCCAGTAAAACACGCACACTTAAATTCCCCAGTAAGGGTCTCGGTTTGCCATGCGCCACGCCACGCTCCTCGAAGGTCTTATATGGATCCATGGCATATTTGTAGAGCAGCACCAGCAGTACCAGCAAAAAGGTGACGATTATCAAAACCATCTCGAACTGGTTGCATCCAAAGTTCGTCTATAACTAAATATAAAATCCAACTAAAAATGAAATATATTTTGGGCACTCGGGATGTACTTAATCGAAGGCATAATCTAAATGAAAGATAATTATCATATGTAAACACTGATTTATTGGGTATGCCAAAAAAGACAAACGTTTAGTTAAATATTTAAGGCAATGTAGTTTTATATTGATATTTTTAGATATAAATATTTATTATTATTTCAATTATTTATGAATTTTTATATTGTTGAAGGCCTTTGTCGATCTGGCTTAACAAATTGTTATTTAGAATTAATTCTTGATAACAATAAATAATAAAATAAATTTTATTTTAAATGTTCGTTCATATATAAATTATTTAATTTTTGTTATTTATGTTTTTATAAACATTTATTTTTTTACCATTTATTTATGTTTAAAATATATTTATTAAGTTTTTACATTTTTTATTTTATTTTTATTATTACGAAATTAACATTTGTATTAATAAAATTGCATTTAAATTAAATGCAAATTAATTCAATTTAAGGCTTTGACCTCTGCCATACCCAAACAATATATTTTATATTTTTAACTTCCCATAATGTAAATGCAAATTAATAAAGAGTATTCAAATGGGCAATTTGAGTAAATAAATATTATACTATTTATCTCTGGCTATGAAAACAATATTGTTTAGTTTTGCCTAATCAACTAAATGGTGAAATTTCGCTGATTGCTGTGTAAATAAATAAACATGCATATATATCTATATACAATGATATATTCTACATATACTCATTACAGTTACAATTGTCAATGCAACCAATTTATTATCAACTATGATGGAAAATTATCAATCGTGGCTGATTGCTCTGCTGTAATTATATAAACATTGTCTATCAAATAGACTATGAGACAGAATATTTGTGACTAGCATAATATCACACACAGGCACAAACACAGATTAAATTTATTTATTCAGTAAAAAGCTTTACCAAACAGCAAATATATGATTTTCCATATTTTCTGCACACTTTTTCATAATCGATAAAAAAGAATGCAAACAAAAGTTAAGCAAAAAATAATACAAAAAATTGGTATAATATTTCAGGTAATCAAATAAAATGCCAAATCATGTGCAGCAATTTGGGCTACTGAAAAATGCATTCAGGATGAATTGGCGGGCTACAGCTGACTAGTTGATACACGCTCGAGTTGATATCAAGTAAGAAGTATTCCAAGTAAGAAGTATTCCATTGGAATTTATAGCAGTTAGTTAAGTCTTAAGGAATTTTTGTGCATTCTCTAAAAGAATAAGCTAATCTACATATTTAATAATAACCGTGCTCCCAAAGCACTAGGACAGATAGTCCCAGTAAATAAATACCCATCTATAGAAGACTTCATAGCTTTCCTTTTTTTTATAATTTTTTTTTTTTTTATAAAAAATATTGTATATTTTATTAAACAAGTTTTTTGCCCAGATTAGGTAAAACTTTATAAAATTATAAATTACAAATCTTTCACTTTGACTTCTCAACAAAACGAATATACCCTCATCTTCACCCCCTGAGCGAGCATTGCAAAATGAAGAAAATTACATTAAAAATTGTGCCTGGGAGCGCTTGCAAGGCGTGGCATGAGTCAGGGCAGCACAACAAAATTATAATAACTATTGCATAACCTTGGGCAAAGATATAAAAGTCAGCCGAGTGCACATATCGACAAATAGTTGAGCTGCCAATATGCTCGAGGACATCCAATTGATTTACATGAATGTGCGCATATTGCGCTTCTGGGCGCTGCTCTACGATAAGAATGTGAAACGCTACATTTGCCTAGCACTGAGCATTATCCATGTGCTCACCCAGATCCTCTACATGTGCACGACGAACGAGGGCATCACGGGCATCATTCGCAACTCCTATATGCTGGTGCTCTGGATAAACACGGTGCTGCGCGCGTACCTACTTCTGTTCGATCAGCAGAGCTATATTCAGCTGATCAGCGATCTGAGGAGCTCGTACTATGAGCTGGCGCGCATGGATGATCGCTATATAGCCCACCTGTTGGCCAAGATGATTCGACAGGGTCGACTTATGGCGCGTGGGAATCTCTTCTTTGGACTGCTCACCTGCATTGGCTTTGGTCTGTATCCGCTGAGCTCCACTGAGAGGGGTGAGTGGGGAGTTGTTGGAAGGGAAAGTTGAGCTTTGCATTCATTTTGGTAAATTTGAGATGAGGACAGCTTTTAAAGTAAAGGTTTAACTAGGTAAATCTTAAGTAATATTTATACATACAAAAGTTTTGTTTACCAAAAAATTGTCTTTTCTAAAATTAATGCAAAGCTTCAACTAATGTCATTCATCCATTAACTTTAATCACCTTTGAAAGCTCTGATACTCTTGATCAATAGACAGCTTTCATTCGTAACCTTATATTATAATATTTAAGCGCTTACTCTAAATACTTCGCATCAACTAAAATTAATCAAAAGCTTCGGCTAATGTCATTATGTTGAAATTCGAATTACCTTCGAACATTTTCTCCACAAAAGTTAATCAAGAGGGTAAAATTCTGCCGTTATCTGGCCACAAAATTAATCCAAATAAGCTTCAACCTAATGTCATTATCTGGCCCTAATCAAATCACCTTTGAGCACTTGCAGTTCTGCCCTTTGGCAGCAAGATACCGGGCGTGAATGAATATGCCACACCCTACTATCAAATTTGGTTCGTCTTTCACATGCTCATCACACCGATGGGCTGCTGCATGTATATACCCTATACGAGTCTCTGTGTGGCCTTCATTATGTTCGGCATTGTGATGTGCCAGTCGCTGCAGCATCGTTTGCGACGTCTCAGGCAGCGTTTGCTCAATCCCCAGCAGCTCTCGCTGGAAATAATCGAATGCATTATCTATCATCAGCGGATCATTGAGTAAGCTGTAAAAAGATGAAGAAGAGCAAGTTTGCAGATATTCAATGAACTCTCCCATCTACTAGCTATGTACAGACCATCAATAAGCTGACTACTTATATATTTCTGGTGGAATTTTTGGCCTTTGGTGCGCTGCTCTGTGCGCTGCTCTTCATGCTGATGTTTGTAAGTGCGTTTGTGTGTGTGTGTGCGAGGATTTGCCATGCTTGCAGTATATATGTGTGTATGTATGCCGTTTCTAGGTGGACTCGTCTGCACATATAGCCATTGTGAGTGCGTATATAAACATGATACTCGCACAGATATTGGCACTCTATTGGTATGCCAATGAGCTGAGGGAGCAGGTGAATTGATGTACTTGTACTTGTAGTTGTTGTTGTTGTAGTTGTCTAACGGGTATTTGTAATATATTCCAGAATCTGGCCATCGCTGTGGCTGCCTACGAGACGGAGTGGTTCACCTTTGACGTGAAGGTACGCAAGAATATACAATTTATGATACTGCGAGCACAACGTCCGGCATCGGTAAGCGCTGTGACTAAAATTAACTAAACTACTATTGCTAATCAAATTTGCAATCATTTTCCTTCTCTTTGCATGCCAGGTATTGCTGGGTAATATTCGCCCCATAACATTGGAGTTGTTTCAGAATCTACTTAATACAACTTATACAGTTTTTACGGTACTTAAGCGTATTTACGGTTGAAATGCGGGGAAATTGCGCATACGACAGGCGGGCCTTAGATATCAAATATAAATACATAAACTAGTATTAATAAATTTTTAAAAATATTTCTGTTTGATAGCTTAGAGTAGTTTTGGCTTTTAAAATTATATTAATTATATTATTGTTTTTAATATATATGAATATTTATATATTTATTTATATATTTGTTTTTAATATACCTATGTATGTCATATTTTCACATACTTTTTTTTGCAATTAATGTATTATTTACAATAAATAGCTGTTAATTTATGGCACTCTACAAAAGGCTTTAAAAATTAATGACGTACACATGCGCAACTAATAACAAAAAATTTTAAATATATATAAAGTTATATCCACGCATAAAAAATATTGAAATGTTGCATAATTAAATAGTTAGCATGCCTTTTACAATTAATGCGCATTGTTTTTTAAATAAATGCCCAATAACAACAACAAATATGCTCTGATTTCATTTAATAAATTGCTGTGAAAAATTATTGTGCAACATTTTTCATTTGTCAGATTTTTTCAAGCGTTTTTTATGAAAATTATATTTTATTTAATGCGAACACATTTTGCTGCTCATCACTTGCGGTTGTCGCGTATTCTTGTTGTGTTTGCATTTATTTGTATTCATTTTTTTTATTGTTCTCTTTCTCCATGCCCTTTAACACCCCACTTAAAAATGGAAGAAGAAAAAAGAGCGCATCAAATTGAGGAAGGTGTGGCAAGAGAGCGATAAAAGTTGTTTGCTGAAGTTGTCAACGCTGAACGCGATGCTGAATTGTCGACAAACTTTGCACCACACTGACTTTGAGTGGCATGCCAGAGCACAACCACCTGCAGCAGCGCAGCGAACACAAAGGTGGCAGCTAAAGAAAAAATAAATAAATAAAGGGGAACAACTGTCGGCAGCTGTAAGCGAAGCACAAACAACAAGAGTCGAATACATTTCAATCTAAAAACAAATTAAAAACAAAACTAAAGTTTATTGGAAGTCACTTCAAAATATATATATTATGCCAATCAGCATTTTTCCAACTTGTAAGCAAATTATATGTCCAACTACCATATAGAATATTCTGCATATTTTCATAAATTTACAAAAATATTTTATCAATATATTTTTTATTTATAAAACGTATTTTTTTCTAATATTTATAAAATATATTTATAATATCTAAACAATTTTATTTAATTTATATAAATATTTTATTTAATCTTGTATTTATAAATATATTTTTGTCAAACCTTACATATTTTTTAAATATATATTAAAATACAACAAACGTAATGTATTTATAAAATATTATAAATAAAGTATAAAGTATGATAAATTTTTAAGGTTAGTGAATACTTTAAAAATACGGATAAAGTATATGTATTTAAAAAAATGTTGTTTATTTTACTAACAAAACTATATATTTTATTTTTGCATATGCATATGCATATTTATTTATTATTTTCTTATTTATATATTTTTTAAATTATTATTGTTATTGTATAATTTTTATTTATTTATTTTTTATTCTTTTAAAAAATATATATTTTACTCCAAAAGAAACCACATTTTTAAAATGAAAATTAATTTTTATTTTTATATTTAACCATCAGTGCATATCATATACATACATCATATATTCAAATATAGTATGACCTTTTAGTAGAAACTTAAGCCAACTATGCCATAATTTTCGTATATCTCGTTGATGGAGCACAGATTGATGAATTGCGGATTCCGTCCGGAGCGGCAGTCGATGGCCGCCCTATCGCCGCTCTGATAAACCGGCGCATTCACATCGTTGCCCCGGACAAAATTACAGGTCATATACTGATGCGTACTGAGCACCCATTGGCCCTCATTGTTGCTGGTGTTGCGCGTCTGACGGAGTATGCCGCACCCGACGTGGGTGGTGCTGTCCCTGACCAGTTGTGTGAAGTACGCGATGCACTTGCTAATACGGAAATGCAAAATTCTTTCAGATTCAATCAGGACTGCACAGCGAACCCATCACCTGCGTCAGCCAGTCTTACCTGTTGGCTGGCGGACTGTAGGCCATAATGTCACGCATGCTGCACTCCTTGTATTCGCCGAACATTTGCTCCAGCGTCGCCTTGATCACCTCATCCTCGGTATGGTATTCAGTGGGACCGCTTGTTGCCGTGCCATCGTTTGGCGTACCCTGCCAGCCGCCCTCGGCCACCACCTGGGCGACATTGCGAAAATGATCGCTGTTGCGGCAATGATCATTGACCAGGGCACAGCGCTTCACATTCAGTTCCGCAAAGCTGGCCAGCTCCGGGTCCCATTGGAGCGTGGCCATGCGTGTGGCCGGATTGAAACCCACTAGATTACCGCCTGCGATCCGATCACGGTATTCGTTCATTTCATTGAGAATCATATTCCGTCTATCTGGCGTAATACGCACCACATGCGCATCCGGACTGCAGGTATCTGCCAGTTCCTGCAAAAATCTTCCGCACTTTAATGTCGACGATACGAGTGGGGGGGTTTTTTTTTTTCCTCATCGAACTTACACCAAAATTACTGCAGGCAATGTGCTTCTCGGGTCCCGGACAGAGCGTAGGATCACAATAGTCAAAGGCCGGAATCCTTGGCCAAATGCAGCACAACTGCCACAGTGCAGCCAACAGCCAGTTAGTCCACAACATTTCGCTAACGCAGCCAATTTGCTCAGCTCTGGCCCCGGAGCACACTCTCTTATAGAGTTGGTCAGCAAATCGATTTGTCAACGCCAAAGCGTTGCTATCTCGCTCAAGACCAACCAGAATCAAAAGCACACACACACACCTGGTCCATTGTCCATTGGCCACGGTCATGGCCACAACCGCATAATATTTAGACAATTAATTAATTCATTTCATTTTGATACCCTCAACCCATTGAAAATCAGCAAAATCAGGGTATACTAGTTTTGTGTAAATGTATGTAACCGACAGAAAACAGAGGCGTAGCACACCCCATAAATCAAATATGTATATTCCTGATCAGGATGACGAGCCGAGCTGCTCTAGTCCTGTTCGTCCGTCCGTCTCTGCAATCTTATGAACGCAAAGATCTCGTAATCCACAAAAGGTAGAGGCTTGATATTGTACATGTATACTCGTGTACAACATATACAACAGGAGCTCATAATATTTTTCCCTCAACTCAACACATTTCCTAATCAATAATTTGACTTTGTATTTTGTAGCTTCAATACTTTTAGAGCTAGAGATTGCAGAGTTATTCTGTGTAGATCCATGTATCGAATGGACAGACTTTATAATTTTCAGATTTTGTATACCATGCACACTTCATTAAAAATTAAAAAAAAATGTTATCGCATTCTGAGAGTTTCATATATAGTAGTCTGTCTGCTACAGGATTTATTATTAGGATGTGTGTTCACATAAAAGGAGCGTAGAATAATTAGAATATTAGTACATTGAAGGGTACAGGAGACAGTAATTTTCTCATATGTTCTTGCCTTTTAGGTTATTTTAACTATGTCCACGATTAACGGTTCTTTTAGAATATCTCTGTGATTATAGTCCAGGCTACGTTTTGGCGGTATATAATTATTTTCGACTGGTTCACTGGGCTTGCATAAAAACTCGTATACGAAATCCCTTCCTTGGTTGCATCTATCTCCTGGCACTGTACTGATTGTATAAGGTACGCCACTATTGACGTTAGCTCGATTTAAATTGCAAATCAGATCTGCTGCAGCGGTATTCCCATTCTCATTTAAAGTGGCGACTATCACACATCCAACTTTATTGCAATGATCCTCGAGTAGAGGCGTGAAGTGACCTAGGCAGGTTGTGTTCCTAACATAATAAAGATAAATAAAATGCAAAAAGAGTTAACTACAAATATTTCAAAAGGTATTTTCAATACAACAAAATGAATCACCATTAGATCTAAATGAATTATGATCGTTTGTAGTACTCACTTCACATTCTTTCGCGTTATTAAGCCCTCTCCACTCAGTTTACAACCCAACATATCTCGAATCCAAATGTTGAGTAGATCCTTAACGGCAGACTTCTGAGTTACTTCTTTTACAAAATGGGTCCCGATTCGCACAGAGGCCACATAATGATATGCCTTGGAGTTGGAACAGTATTGCCCAGTGGTATCACACGTAAACGCTAGCTTTTCGGCTGTCTCGACGAGAAAGTCATCCCACGTGAGGGTCGGCATATTGGCTGCCGCTGGGAAATCAAATAGCCCACTGGCCACCAAGTTGCGCGCGTAATTCAAACGAAACAGTACGTCCTCCCTCAGACTTCCGTCAATGGAAATTAAACGATATTTTTTATCGCCACATCGCTTATGGAATGACTCTAACTTCTGAAAACTTATTTAAATACAAAACAAATAATAATTATATCTATGTTTTTACCCTTTTAAAGCACAGCACATGTGTGGTTCCATTGGAGCAGTATTGCTGAAATGGACAAGCTACTGCAGCCGTACTACGGACAATTGACAGCAGTCCTAGCAGTGGAAACACCAAATTCCTTCTCATTTTTACGTGGCAAACTGCGCGAAAGTCTTGGGAGTTATATTCAGGTCTTGATTTGACTATGGGCTTATACAACCTCGAGGCATTAGCCTAATGAACCATGCACTGTTGCAGATGAATCACTTGGCTATGCTGATTAAAGCATGCTGCAGCGGATTAGGCTAAAACTATATATTATATTAAAGCTACATATAATATAATGTACTAAATCTTTAACGGCAGTTGACAAATAATTTTAGCTTTGCTCTAGACTTTGTCTTTATAGAGTTTGCATTATTTAGAAGTGTTCAGAAATTGATATGATATATGAGTGATAAATTATTTGATGACATAGATAATCAAATATGGAAAAAAAAGAGAAGAGAGACAAACGAAATAATTAACGAAAGATAAACATACACATTGACAGACTCAAGCCTAATCAACTAATTATTGATAGGGTATGTGTAAGTATACTGATAAGATATATATCTTATGAGTTAGCAAATGTGTTCTTGATTCTCATACATGCATAAATTATATTTAACTATATATGAAAATTCAGAAAAGCAATCAGACAGACAATGTTTTGATTTATCTATTATTATAAAGTAATTCCTATGATATTTTATACAATCTCCATATTAAAAAGTATCATTAAAATCCAAAAACATAATTGAATTCCTATTTATAACATATTTAATTGGAAATCTATTTATCTATCGATCTTATATAACATATCTATCAAACTACCTTATTCTGTTCAATTTAGCATGTGATTCTACGAGTGATTTATTTGCCATAAATAAGCTAATGTTATTTATCAATCAAATCCAATACATTTTTAATATATAAATAGATAGTTTAACATATTTAAGCAAGAACATATATCTATATATATCTATCATACATCTATCATTCTAATTTACATTAAATAAAAATATTTAATACTTATGTCTTCCCTTCACACATTCAAATTTCACATTCTCTTATATAAATATAAAAGAAATATATAAAAACATTCAACACAATTTGTATTGCAATGAAAGTACACGAAAATATGCAAAAAAAAACTGTTTGCATAATGTGCATTTCATTAATTTATTTTAAAAAATTGATTTATGTATTTTTTTTTCTTTTATGGCTTTTTAAGTATATTATTTTATCATCGCCTTTTTTTTTTTTTTTGTCTTATAACGTATAAATTAAAATTAAGTTGCACTTATTAACGTATTTACATCACAATGATTAGTGAATTGGTATCGAATACATACATATAATACGAATAACAAATCGATGGCGCGACACTTTGGTAATATTCAAATTTTATATAGAATATAGAATATATATATAGAACTATAGCTAATCATTGAAAGCAATGCTAAAGCGTATATATATGGAAATGATCGCAATAGGATAAACAAAACTAAATCATATTAAAGGAATCGACGATTCGCAATTGTCCAGATAGATGAGTTGAGGGCCGCACAATGCCTATTGTGCATAGTTGGGATTGTAGGGCATTTGCTTCTCATAGGTGCCGGGCACAACACTCGGTCCCGGATTAGCCATGGCCATGTCATATGACGGTGGATTCATGTTGACAGCACCACCGCCCGGTGGCATCGTCGGCGGATAAGCTCCTGCTGTTCCCATTTGCGGTGGCATTCTGCAATTAAACATAAACAGTTAGATGTGGTCGATGTGCTTGCGGTTAAGTGTAGGTGTAAGTGTATTTACGCTGGCATTGCTGGCTGTCCCCCTGGCATGGGCATGCCCATGGGCATCTGCACGGTCACATTGCTGCAAGGGTAGAGAAGAAACGTGGCTAAAGCATTAACTGACATTAGGACGTTTGCCATATGTGCGCTTACCCTGCGGTCTGGGCGGGATAGGGTGTTCCGTAGGCGTTCGGTTGATATGTTGTGGCTGGTATCTGTGTAACGGGATAGCCGCCAGGGGCTGTGTGCGTGGCCGATGTGACTACAACGGGTGCTGCAAAGAAAAAACCACGAAATTGATATTAAAATCTAATTCAATTTCAACTAATTAAGTTGTTCATTTGATAAGCTGATAAGTAATTGGGACTTAGGTTATTATTTAGTAATTCGTATGCAAATATTTTTACCAGCGCGTTCGCTTAACAGATAGCCAGTATTTGTGGCATTTTGTGCTCGTCGTTTCGAATACATAATCACTGAGATAATCACAAAGATAATAAATCCAATACTAAAACCAATTATCATTCCAGACGACATTCTGACAGCCGACAAACGTTCTCTTCGGTCACACAATGGTAACTGTTGACTGAATCGGATCAAAATACTCGGAACGCTCATATTTATAGATTGATAAGAAGTATATTATCTTGATACCCCTTAATTAACCTTAATTCTAGTGGTTATATTAAGCTAATAGAAGTTAAAGTAATTCAGCAACATTTTTAAAATAATTGTGTCAAGATATATTATATTATAATAAAGGTTATATTTAATTTTAATTTTAATTATAAATAGCATTGGCTTTGTATTTGTATATATATTTATTTAAAAATATTAAATATTTTGTTGTATATATTTTGTATATATTTGCATATTTTATTAAATTTTTATTTTTATTGATCTTATTTTTTATAAGTATTTAACAACTATAATAATTTTATACATGTTAACTTTTTAAATTATTTTTATTAATTTATTTTATTAATTAAAAAAAAAAATTGTTTTTATCCTTTTGTTTTTTATTTAATTGTTTTTATTATTATTTTTTTTAATAAATTTAATTTTTTTATAATTTTTTTATTTATTTTTTTTATTTTTTTTTATTTTTTTTTTTTTGTTTTTCGATGTTATGTATATTTTATATTTATTTTAATGAATATTTTCTTTATATATACTTTAATTTGGTTAGTGCACAGCTCTTAGTCGATCAATCTAACTAATTGATATCACAAGTTATTCAAGTGTTTGCGAGCACTCAGAAAACTGAATCTGAAGAGCACTAGTAAATAAGTAAAACACTTTATGGGGAAAGTGTATTCCCCTTTTTTATAGACGAGCACACAGATAGAGAGCTACGATCACACCCAAGAGAGCATAGCTCTTCAAACAGAACAAGTCCAGTAAAAGTTGTTACAATAAAAAATCCACTTAATTACTCATAGCGCAAGTGTCGAAATAGCTCAATTTAATTAGAAGATTTTACCTGAGTTAAGGACTTTATTTTGTCTATATCTTTTGGTTAGTATGGCAGCTACACAGCAGGAAGTTTGCACTAGTACTGCAATGCAAAATACAATTATGCCAATAACATAGCCCTCCATTCAGTCAGAGATCGTTGAAGCACAGACAACAAAGGGAAAAAGTGAACTAAACTTTATATGGCCTAAATTGTTATGACTCGGGACAGCAAATATATATATACACATATATCACTTAACAGTTATGACAAATTGCCAATTTGTTGATAAGGCCGTCAATTTGGGCGGGGCGGGGGTTTACCCACGTAACGCAATGAATACTCTATTAATTCTATTTCGTTTTTTATGAAATTATTGAAATATGGAAAACCATCATAGATGACATAACTAATGATGAAGATGGTGATGATGTGAGCATAGCAACGTTTGGCCACAAAAGTTTTCTATAATCTGCATAGAAAAAAGAGTGTGAAAAATATATTGTGAACCAACCAAAAAAATAATAAAAATAAAATAAAAAATAAAATAAAAAAACAGAGCTAGGTAGTTCAAAGACTTAATATTTTACAATACAAAATGATTTGTTTTTTTTTTTAATCTAAAAAAAATTTTTTAACCATTTGTTTGGCTATTAAAAATTAAGCTCCTTATCAATGTAACTGATAAACAATGACAAAAAAAAAAAAATAAGAAACAAAAAAGCAGTGAAAAAAAGTACCAAAATAATATCTCTTAGTTTTGCACATGTAATCCGCTTACGTACAGTTATGAATCACACACACACATATATATATATATATATATATATATATATATATATATATATATATAGAGAAACCACTACGTCACTTTGAACACACCTGCGCCCTTCATGAGCTGCGCTCGTCCATTGCGTCCGCGCGTTAGGAACACTGCGCACGATGACAAAAAAAATATGGAGAGTGTAAAAAATAATATCCAATAAATGCTTGACATATCCATGACAACAAAAAAAAAATTAAACTAGCGCTACGCACAAGACGACCAACTTGGAGAGACTAACTAAACGCCAGAGCCTCATCATAGCGCGATAACAGAATGCAAAAGTCATGCCATGAATTGCTAGTTCGCCAATGCCGGAATATATTATAAGGGCAATCTAAACAAGTCGTAAAGATATCTACACAGCTCGAAAGGTTTGCAGCTCATGTTCATTTTTAGTTTCGTCTTCGATTTTGTTTGTTGCATAATGCAAATATTTAATAAATATGTCTCGTATATATTTTTAGTGATCTAATAGAAAAGGAAGATATTTCGTAAGACATATTAAAGTGAAACATAAAGCAAACATTTCGGCTATTTTTTTTAAGATTTTTTGTAGTGTAGAATACATAAATATTTAAACGTTGATCTCAGAACCTATAGCAACAAGAGATTTGAGATTTTAAAGACCACTGTTCTAAAATTATTTCTCGTTCATCTTAACTGAATGATTTCAAAGAAAGTTTTAAAAACCCAATAAAAAGAGAACTTACTCAAATCATTCACAGTTTTAACGCGTCGCTGTTTACGTTTATGATGCGCCACATAGCCAACGGTGCAAATCACAAAAAAATATAACAGCATCCTAAAAAGCACTTTGCATATGGCCACCACGAATGATAAGTGGCTTGACTGAGTGTTTTCAGCATAATCCAGCGTAAAGTTCTGCATGTTGTTTGACAGTTCGGAAATAACTGAAATTCGCTAACTCTGCTCTAAAACTAATCCATATATTTCATGAGCTTTCAGCTAAATTGTATGGTATGGACGTATGCAAATGGGTTCATTAATATTATGAAGCACTATTTAGAAGGAATTAACATTTTGAGAGCTTTTAATATAATTGAGTGACCTATTGAGATGAAGGGGGGAATCAAGAGTGAGATATTTGTGTTTGACTTAGTTGTAAAATGGGAATAAATCCATTTGGGTGCTGCATCCGTGTTTTATCTGGGGTTTCTTAATTAATTTCCAATTTAAATTTAATCAAACATCCGAACCATTCAGCCAAGAAGATTAAACAGGAAGTTTAATATATTGTAACAAGGTTTTTATCAAATTATAATATCAATTATGTACCATAGTAAGGAAATTGGAGTAATTCTTAAATAATATTTTTATCTTGTACTTCCTATAATATACAGAGATATATATTTAAAATTTGAAGTGCTCAGGTCTTGTAGTTTACGAGATCGTGCGGATACAAACATGGGAATGAAACAGAAACAAGTATACTTAATGGCGACTACCGCATGTCTTCACAAACCAATTATATTCCAATCAAAATAAATCCAAAAGCTTTTCTCTTTTCACTTACGTGCTCATTATTTTAAAATTCAATTATAATATTATTAATAAATATTATTAGATCTTTGTTTTGCACTTTATTGACTAAAAGTTTGTATGGATTGCACTTTCTGTTGCTTTTTCAATAGTGGATAGTCGTAGACATCGTTTTCAATAAACCAGGCATAGACGCCAACCAAAACAGTTAGAACACTCAATGCAACCAATTCCTTGATCACATATTCCCAATTAAAATTCATTCGTTCGGTCGCAAATGACCAATATGCAAAGTCCAAAATACTTGCATTCATGATGAAAGCCTAAATCGAACTCGTATCACCATGAAATAAAAGCTACAATTGGCATATGTTTAGATATGTATATGAATGTCTATTAATAGAGTCCATTTCATTAGATGGCGTCATAAGTATGATTAGCTAGGCCAGCCTACTCAACTGTACAAGCATATGAAGTAATTAATTATTCTTATATTTACAAGAGACAAACAAATAATCGAAATTGCTTTAGGCCAAAAGCTTTCGGGCCGAAAACCTTAGCACACTTGAATATCTAATTGGGAAATAGATTGTAATCTCTAATTCATGGCTAAGATCAGATATAGAAAAAATATCAGCAAAATTTTTCTAATAAATCAATCAAAAAGTAATTGGAATATTTATAGACAGAAAATTAATTAAAATATTCTCACATTCTATATTATATACTAACTTTCATATTCATCATAGCAAATTTCCGAATCCCTTTCACCATCATCGATTTCAAAATGCGTAACAGCATCGTCTCTTCTACAGTTATTGCAACACGCTCTTGCTTTATAAGCCATAATTGTAATAATAAGAACTATTATAATACTGCCAATAATTGCGTAAAATAATGGGGTTTTTGTATCAAACATATCACATAGACGAACTGAACACTCTTAAAGCAAAACGAAGACTAAAGCAGCTCCAGAGTGGAAAGATTTACAGCAATGTATAGATTGCAAATTATATATTTATACTTATATGTGTGGTTAAATATGATGCATAATTATTTATAAGCTCTCAATAAAGAACTATATAAAATTCTTATATAGTTAAATGAAGGTTTATATCAAAGATTTAGATATATATATGATACGCCTTTTGCTTATAAAAATGGTTGCTTAAGCAATGCTTATTCTGGAATAAATTTTTAAATATTTATCGAATTTTATTTACTCACTTTGCATTTTGAACAGAGTAGCATTATAATTTCTTTTACAGTAATCGTAACCAAGTTTTATACAATAGCATAGTAGAATTCCAATAAGAATAATCGTATGGGCAAACAAAACGTTTAACCCGATATTTGCTGTACCAAGCGACATCGAGAGGAACTGAGCACAGTAAAAGGAACTCAGAGACTAAATGATTTCTTACTTTAAAGCAGAATATAGTGAATACATTATATATTGTGGTATATAGAGAGAGAGAGAGATTTCCAATTT